ATGTCATTTTACTTCCGTGTCTTTACAATTTGTGCATATTAAACTTTAAGTGCAGTATGTATAATCAAGTATTTCTCTTTGTCGTTACCAATTCAAATTAGTTCGCATTGATGCAAATTAAGTTTGACTGCAACGCAGAACACAATAATTATAGCGTATAAAAATGAAGTCGCCAAGTGTCTTCCGTGTGCAGAAACTGAAAGTTTCCGTACAGTTAGTCACGAAAAGGTTATAAGATTTCTTTTATTGGTTTCAAACCGCATAAGTAAATTCGTTTTTCAGTAATTCGCAGGAGATATATCTTCCTATTAAATACGAGATGCGTTGCAAAATTCATCGAAATAAAATATTGCAACCGTTTTGCAACTGTACTGTGTATATAAGATCGTAGCTTCAATGAACCACATCGTATTATAAAATGATGATTTGCCTGCGACTGTATGCTTCCACTGTTCAATGCGCACCACCGGTCGTTGCTAACAACTGTCAATAGATTCAAATATGTTGGATGACATAAAAAACTAGTCCTACCACATCACACGCGCTGACTCGATAATCTTCTCTCATTAATATCTCAGTTATTATCGTGATTGTGATCTCCTCTCATTAATATCTCAAATATTATCGCGATTGTTGATTTGCAAAATGATAAAAAAATTTGTTTGGACAACGGAAAGATTTGTTGAAAATATTAATTGAGATTTGCTATATATGTGAACAGCAAAATAATTTGGCTCTGCCAACTAAATTTTATTACTGTCGTAACCAGCGACAGTAATCTTGCTACAAGAGCAAAATTATTTTTGCATTACTGTTGCAACCAGCGACAGTAATCTTACTACAAGAGCAAAATTAACCCTTTGCACTCCGCTGTCTCCGTAGCGGCGACATGGTTATTTTGCTGCCTCGGCACTTTAAGAAATTTTAAGTCCTAAAATTTATGTTTTTCTTTTATAATATAAGTTAGAATATGTTTTGTTATAAAATAGCTAAGAAATAAAAATTTTGTTTTATTGAAACGACTCTATTTTTCTTCTACATCATAGGTATGTACTTGGAACTAATAGCCTCTATGCATTACTAGGCTGGAGTGCAAAGGGTTAATTTTTCCGTGAAACAAATACTTTTGTTGTCAGCATATTAAGAAGTAACTAAAATAATATAAAAAATAACTAAAATAAATTTGCAGTTTCAGCAAAACTTAATTTCTCCGTGCGAATTCTTTTAACATTGGGGATAGAAAGGCTTATATAAAACAGCGATTTATAAACGATTAAATAAAATACGTTATCATTGTTCACTCGTTTCCGCTATTTCATCATTACTGCGCAATATTCGCTCATTTGCCTTAATGTAAATCAAATGGAATATAATACATAATGCAATTTTTAATGCTACTTAGTGATGCTTGCGTGACTAAGAATTTGCTATAAAAGCGCGGTGGCACTTTCCACAAGAAATAGTCATCATTATCTGGGTCATGCGAGAAACCTGAGAAGACCATTATGAAGACAGTCGTAATTCTGATTGTACTGATCGCTACGGTGAGTACTGTATAAAAAATTTTCTCAAGCTACGTATCAAAAGTCTATACTCGCACTATTTCGATTTTTCTATATTAAATTACAGAATTTGTTTCTACATTGTTTCACGTTTCATTGTTTCAAATATAGCTGTGAATCGATATTTAAACGTATCCGAAATAACACGAAATTTGATTTTGTACTTAAGTCGTAATGTAATAGGTTCTGTTTTTAATAATCACATGTTTATAAAATATTTTCTCTTTGAAGTGTAAAATAACTTATTTTCCTATAGTTTGCTATTTCTTACAACTAGCAAATTTGCAACGTTTGATAACGTTTCGGAAGGAAAGAATTTTTATGTATTTTAGAGTAATTAATTCTTTTGAATTTTAGGGAGTGGTTTACGCCAAAAACGAACATGCACGAAGATGGAGACAACATTATGAAGAATGTGCTCAAATGTTTGATGTGGAAGGTGAGTATAATAATTACGGAAGAAATAATATGAAAAATAATATTATTCTGCCCTGTAAGAATAATTTCCTTACCGAGAAGCATGAAATAGTTTGTTGGAAATAATATTATATTAATGTCTGTCTAAAACTAAATTTTTCTCTTTTTTCGTCTCAGTTGACGTCCGAATCGATTTAATCCTATGCGCGGCAATCAAGGATGGTGGAGTAAGTATATTTCAGTTAGTTAAGAATTCCGATTCAATTTTGAATTTAATTTAACTTCAACACCTTCAGTAAAAACAAATTATTCATCAAGTAATCACCATCATTGTGTATATCTGCAAAAGTAATCCTGTATTCTGAAATACGAAACGTCCAGGATGTATATAAAATATTCGGTTTGACTTCTAGATTAGTGCCGTCGATTTCGTAAATTTGTTTTTTACGTTTCACGAGAAACATATCATTATCCCAGGAGCCAAGCCGAGTAAACTTCTATTGTAAATGATGATCGATTTATTGTCTAAAGAGGGTCAAAAATCAATACAAATTTTTAATTTTAAGTAAAATAAGATAACGATAAAAATACTGTTTTATAGCAATGCGAATTGTAAATTTTAAAATTGTGAAGAATCAAAATCAAATTGTTCCGATATATTGCACAAAGTCAATTTGTAGATTGCAAATGTAGATATTAAGAGGATATTAATCATGAAATTTTTAGTATCTGTATACAAATGGCGCATACAGTCCGGAAACACTTTTAAGGAGAATACCAATGTTCGTTTCCGATCCAGTCAAATTGCAACAAGCATATCAAATATTTTACAAATGCAATAATGAAGGTAACCGATTTCATTATTTGACGTCTATTTACTATTTACAATCTCTTGAGATACACTCTTGAGATACACTCTTGAGATACACTCTACATTATTTCTATATTATCGAAGACCATAATTAAAAAACATAATTATACGGATTTTGAATGTGTAAAGAAATGTTTATTATATTACAGATTAAATAATTTTCCTGTGTTTGCAAGTTAATTCCTTTTATCTTATCACAAAAACTATACTGACACAACTAAAAATTCCATATATATGATATTTATAAGCAGCATATATATTCTATTTGAATTTGTTCTATCTGAATTCTGTCTGAAAGTTTATCATCCGCTTTTTATTTTAATTACAGCAACTCAATCCGGAGAAGATGGTTTATGGAAATCAATACAATTTCTACTCTGCGGTAAATCAATGATAACACTCATTGATGCAGAATGAATACAAAGTGAAAGTGCATGAAAGAAGAT